AAGAACTCTTGTAGTTCTTTGGGGAGAGGTTAAGCTCTCTGAGTATCTTGTATTCACCATTCTTCTTGATTCTTTGGCAATAAAAGGAGGCTGTACAATTCAGAGAACTTGTTCTGTGTGGTGTTTCTAGTGTTATTCGATTAAAAGAACCTATCAGTACTATACTACTTCCTTGATCTCATGTTTCAAGGCCATCTCGAACTTCTTGAATATCATTTTTCTTCTATACCAAGCCACGTTATAATCTTACTCCAAATATATCAGATGATCTCATGCCTAATAACAACTAAATCCTACGGAAATCAAATCCTAATAAACTAAACCATATATATAATTTAATGTATAAAAAATACTTAAAAATAATAATAAACTGTACAAGAGACAAAATTCTCTTACAATTTTAATAAACTTCATAAAAGACTTTTTTGAAAAAAATAATAAACTCCATGAAAGATTTTCCTTAACAAAATAAAAATAAACTCTAGACCTCCCTTATTATGTTTCCAGTATTTGAACTCTAATTTGCTGCAAAATCTTTCTTGATGCCTACTTCTTTCCCTATTTCCCTTTAACCTCTTCTCATAATTTCTAAAAGGATTTTGATGTACATCTACTCTATTCAGCCCCCATTTTAATAAGGAAATATATGTTTTATTGATATTCTTCATCTTAATTGTCGTTGATGTGTAATTATACTAACTTAAAAGTCTTTTAAATTGTCATTAGTACAATAAAAATATCCAACTGCCAACTTTATTCAACTCTTAAAAATTTATTCCTCTTTTTAAAATATCTATATTTTCTTAAATAATTAATTTTGATAAGTTTATTATTCCATTTTTTAAATAAAAGTTAACTTATGAAAATAAATAAATAAGTAAGCAAAAATAATAAACTATTAAACATAAGTTAGTATTGGTTCTCACATTCTTCCCAACTTAAAAGTTTTAGTCCTAAAAAATGTATTAAACACAAACAAATGAGGATAAAAGGCTCACATTCTAATTCTCATATTGTATTCTATCTACTCCTACTTTTACCTAGTTCAAATCTCTACCTCTTGGTTGTTTAACTCTTTTGTCTACTACTTTCATGAGACTAAATTTGTAGGATAATTACTCCTTTAACTCTATCTTGCCTTGTTCAATGACATGAGTGGGATGTATGCATTTCCTGAGTTACAAAACATGAAATATATGTAGATTTCCAAGAGAAGGAAGTAAGGCAACTTCATAAATTGATGGACTAATTATTCTTATAATCTAATATAAGAATTTTCCCAACCTCCAATATGATAAAGTATACAAACCTGCAAAAGATCTTTCAAAGATTATAGTCCTTCACCTAAAATCATATTTTACAATTCTTTGTCATTGGGCATGCAAACTTTTCCTTTAAACTTCAAGGTTCCACCAACTCTTACAAAAAATTCTTGACTCCCATGTTCCATTTCTACCCTGAACTTGTGATCTACCAATTGTATTTTCTTAACCATAACAAAAAAACTCATTAGTGATGGTAAGCATGCCACAACAATTAATATGATTTGATGAATGTCTTTGAACTATTACAACATCTCCAATTCTTTTATCAAGGCAACTATATGAACAAATTTTGCTTGAGTGGTGTTTCTTAAACGTCTAAGTAATTACCAGAAGCAACATCGTTTTTAAAATTTTGTTCATTGTCTTTTCTCTCGGGAACTGATGCTTAAGAAAGGGTATGCCGTGATTAAAGGACAATGTGTTTGCGCTCAAGCGATAAATTTAATAATGGAAAATATATTTTTCTGCACCTGTATAATTTTATTTTAATTTATTGATTTGGTTGGTTTTAATTAATATAAAAATTTTAAAAAAATGAAATTACGATGTTGTTTGGTATTGTTAAAAATTAATCTTTATTTGAATAAAGTGTGGTCTATCCGAAATTGTATACGAATAATAAGAGTCTAAACATTATGTGTTTCAAGGTAGACGATCCATCAAACAATTTACTATCTCACTCTCCTAAACAAATATCCTTCGTCAAAATTCACTAGCAACCAACAACATATATTTGCATTCAGGTGGCTTCACTAGATTGAACGCCTGAATCTTTTGAAAGTACTCTACCTTTTATCCCATAGTAACTACTCATGTTGTCATCAAGACAAAAAGAAGGTATCCTCAAACCCTTATCTCTTTAGCTACCTCGTTGTCTTTTAAACCAACAAACAGAGGTTTGAGGATTATATTGTTCTTGTTGCACTAAATGGTTAGGTGTGGAATTTTTATATACTTTAGGTCTACCAAATTCTTCTCTAGGGATTTCCTTAGGTTTTAAACCAACCTAATTCATCATTAGTTTGAGCTAGAAATTAATGCAATTTCTTCAATTGTAGGTCAAGTTGAATCCAACTCTCTTAATCTACGAGTTTGAGGTTGAGTTGGAAGTAAGTTGATATGGAATCCACCAGCAACAACTCTATGTCATTTTTATTACAATTAATTGTTTACTACTTATAATTACATGTAAGTTGACAATTTGATCTTTTTAAATAATTAAATGTTATTTAATAATGTTTGAGCAATTTAGATGTTTAATTTAGTCGTTTGTCCAATTACATAGGCACTTTGATATAACTTCTACTCTTGTAATAATTCTTGACAAAAATAGATAAACATTTTAATTATACTTTATGAATTGATTAGTTAAGTACATTTTGATTCTACTATAATAAATATATAATTTACTTATTCAGAGTAGGTTACATCATATTACAAAATTTATAACACTCCAAAAATTAAATTAAATCTAATTGACTCATTTTTAATTCAACTAAGTTCTTTGATTTATGTTTATTGTCAATAATGATAGGATTCGATAGAAAAAATAGCTTTTCAGAATCCCATAGAAATTTTTTATTAATCACTTTTATTTTGAAACTTTTTTATTTTTGAAATTTTTTATTCCAGTCATAATAAGAAAAAAAAAAGAAGTAATGTTCAAAGAGAAAATTCTTAATATAATGTATATATTAAGATTCGAAAGGTAGATTTATATATAATAATAAACCGGGAAAAAGCTTTGAAAAATAGAATTTTTCAATAAAAAAATAAAAATTTGGTTTATGGACAAAACATATTAAATTTATTTTATTAATGATTCAATTTTATTAATGTTTCGATGAAATATTTAAATTTATAGTATACAATAAAAATAAAAAGAATTTAGTGTTATGATTTGAATTTCATGTTCACGTAAGTTGAACATCCAAACACCTTCGCATTGTGTAACCAGCAGATTTGTTAGATCACATCTCAACGGGAGTCTTGAATTTAATAGTTGTGGAAAGGAACATCGAGTGTTAATTGCTTCACCTCAATATCAATTATCTAACCCAAAATGTGACAACATATGTCTTGCTCTCTAAAAATGATTTTTGCATCCTGTCTGCAACTTTATTTTGTCATAACATATGACGAACAATCAAGTGTTTCCCAACATTGTCTCCACAAAAATCATTAAACACCTGAAAGAAAAAAACTCCATATTATTATCAGTTTGTAGACACTTGGTTTTCTTCCTGATTTCATTTAGCATCAAGAGTATTCAATACTTTAATTCAACAAATCTAGTATAATTATTAATGGTTAAATGAAATGATGAAACTTTCGATTAGCCCCAACAATTAAGTTAAACATAGTTCAACATAACCTTTGTAGTATATACTTTATTCAAAAACCTTTGCATGTATTATTTCTCAAACACACAATGCTAAAAAATAAGAGAGCTTAAATAATTACAACCCTAGAAATTTGTCGTCATACAGTAAGTTTGCCTCCGTAAAGTAGGAATTGGCCACACTTTCGTCAGCTAAACACTATCAGTGTCATTGCTTCATGCTAGTTTACAGCTATACACGAGAAAAAAAAATACAAAAATATGCGCAGCGGGCAGCAGACATTAAACATATTGGTGGTAAAATAAACCCGTATTCTCCGCAATTGAAGATGGAAAATGGATGCCAATACAAAATACGATTACTATACCCAACCACTTAACAAAAAGGTCAAAGGAGATGCACCCTTATGAGTTATGAACATGGTGGTGCCTCTAACCTTGCCATTCGGGACAAGGTTAGAAATAGCATTGCTCTTCTAATGATGAAGATTATCAACAATAGCAATTGAAAGAGTATAGAGCTTTTGTGCAAACATCATGCATTTTAATAGACAAAAAAAAATTAAAAAACTGTTAATCGTACGTATATTCCAACATCATCACACTTGAGAGTGTTCAAAACATGAGCTTCATGAGTATGCAGTTAATCTGTTCAATTTTCCAACCAACTTTTTGGCCAGTAGTCAACAATATCGTGATTGGCCTTTTAGCTGTACAACATTGATATTAAAAGTGCTGAAACTAAATTCAAGCTAAATTTGAACAAAAAAAAAAAAGATTCCATGCTTCAAAATTCCTTTGCTCTTTGCCTCAATTGATCAAGTTCCAACTCAATCTCAGAGTCTCGAAATGGATTTCCAGTGTTGGTGCTAGTGGTGCCACTTCTTCCAGGAGGAAGGTCACCTTTCTGCTTGAAGCAAACAGGCAAACAATTTATTGAAAAATTTTATAAATAGCACCTAGGTAGTATCGCACAAAACTTCCTCTACGTCTAATTTTACTTTAGCAAGACGTAATGCGTTAGGAAAAAGAAAAAATGAATTCCTTGCCTTTCACAGGTTTAACTCCTAGTCACAAAACAGCGAAAACTTGCAAGACAGAATTAAATTCTCGTGGCATTATACCCAAACAGAAGCTATTTCACATTTGAAGCTTACCTTTGAACCACCAGATAATTCTTTCTTCAAATTTGCGAGATCGTCATCAACCGATGAGCTCTCAAGCAATGCAAACTGCAAAAATCAATAATTAATCGCTGCAGAAGAATGAAACCCAGGAATTTCACAAACAATCATGATGGGGAAATTAAACTTGCCTCCCTTAAGGTTTCTATATTGAATGACACTCTTATATATTCTAGTTTTAAAATTGGCATTCCTCAATAGTTTTAAAATAATAGCATTCACATCTATGGTTTTTAAATAAATATTCAACTCTTATTTTTTTAATAAGTAACATTCATCTCCCTTATATTTTAACAAAATAAAACTATAACACTTCCCTTATTTTATTTTAAATATCATATTAACAAAAACTTCAATAAAAAAATATGAAAATTAAAAATTAAGTTTTAAAATATAAAAATAAAAGAACTTTATAAACAAAAAAAGCTTTAAAAAATCGTTACAAAAACAAAATAAAGGGAGTTGAGTGTTCCTTTATAAAAAAACATAACGGAAGTGAGTATCATATAGTAAAAATATGAGGGAGGTTAATGTCTATTTAAAAACTAGAGATTGTAAGGTGTCATTTTATTAAAAACATAAAAGAGATGAGTGTCTATTTTGGAACTATAAAGGATGTGAGTTTAGTTTACCTTTTGTAACTAAAAAGGATGTGAGTGTACCTTGTATAAGGTATGTAAAATTTCCACATTACGTAATGTACGTAAGAAGGAATGCATTTTACAATCTTTGTCACTCCAAACTCCCCAACTCTAATGCACTATAAAATACTCAATGGAGATAAGTGCAATTTTCTCATAATGTAATGAAGCAATAAGTTTTACAGTCTCTGCCTTGTCTTTTTCTCTTAAGTAAATCCTTGTGCTGCAAATGATAGGGGAATCTAGGGGTGTCAACCTTGTTGGGATCTCTTTCTTTAAGGGTGATATCAAACACGTCAACCCTTATATAAAAAGAAAAGAAAAAAAACAAAACACTTTACGGTCTGTCACCCCAAACTCCCCCAAGTCTAATGCATGATAAAATTATCGGACGAAGCCAAGGGATTTATACAACAAACCCCAAAATATATTTGAAACTTATGGTTGTTCCATTGGTTTTGTGGTTCTGAGCTAAATCAAATTATCTAACAAAGAAAAAGATTTACAGAAAGAAATTCTGTATTTCTGATGCATAATTAATTGGCTCAGAGTTTATTTCCTTACTGAATAGCTTCCGAGGAAATGGTTTCTACATTTTCCAACAGTAAGTGAAATCCACAAAGAAAACTACATTATTTTTTAATAGATTACATAACTGTAGTGAATCTAGCTATGATCATAATAGTTCAGAAGATTTCGTTTTCCATTATTTGGACATCTATGTTTCCTAAAAGTAAAATTAAAATAAAACAAATCTAGTTCCCCCCTTTAGTTCGTTCATTTCCATGCACAATATATAAGGCACACATAAACATAAGTTACATGGTATACAAACAATTACTACCTTTCCTTCAAGATCGTCAGTTGTCAACTGGCCAAAAGCTTCAGCTTGGGACTCCATTGCCATCACTACCAAGATAATAGAAAATAATTACAAAGAAAGACAATTTCATACACAATAGTAAGAGCATATAAAAGATTATATAAATAACTCATGCAAATACTCACTTTATTCCATAGAATAGGCATTTTAAGCATGTTATATCTTGCTATCAAATGCCATGTTTCATTATAATTTTACTCATTATAGATTTTGAATACTATTACATTTATTGAGATAATTAATAATGAGCATGCATAAGGTCAAAATGTGCATAACTCACAAAGAATAGGTTGGGCTTAATTATAATGTATCATGATTATTGCCCTTGACATTTGTCAAAATCAAAATACATTAAAAAAAAAGTCTGTGAATCACTAGAAGCTTCAACGTGTCAGATTATTTCCTGGATTCTATAGTTTATCAATATAACAATAGGTTATCAGTTTGAAAAAAAGAAAAAGGAAAGTGAGCAGGATAGGAAGCATAGAACCTCAAAATAACTCATTGGCTTGGCAACGAAATTATATGTTTGTATATGGTCAAAGTTACTAATTAAGTATAAGCCACAATTCAGCAAAAAAAGTACATGCAAAAAAATTTCTAACCTTTCTCTTCCATCTTTTCAAAGGCTGAAAGAGCACTACTAGTATTGACNAGCAGCAGACATTAAACATATTGGTGGTAAAATAAACCCGTATTCTCCGCAATTGAAGATGGAAAATGGATGCCAATACAAAATACGATTACTATACCCAACCACTTAACAAAAAAGTCAAAGGAGATGCACCCTTATGAGTTATGAACATGGCCTCTAACCTTGCCATTCTGGACATGCTACGAGATTTGAAATAGCATTTGCTCTTCTAATGATGAAGATTATCAACAATAGCAATTGAAAGAGTATAGAGCTTTTGTGCAAACATCATGCATTTTAATAGACAAAAAAAAATTAAAAAACTGTTAATCGTACGTATATTCCAACATCATCACACTTGAGAGTGTTCAAAACATGAGCTTCATGAGTATGCAGTTAATCTGTTCAATTTTCCAACCAACTTTTGGCCAGTAGTCAACAATATCGTGATTGGCCTTTTAGCTGTACAACATTGATATTAAAAGTACTGAAACTAAATTCAAGCTAAATTTGAACAAAAAAAAAAAAAGATTCCATGCTTCAAAATTCCTTTGCTCTTTGCCTCAATTGATCAAGTTCCAACTCAATCTCAGAGTCTCGAAATGGATTTCCAGTGTTGGTGCTAGTGGTGCCACTTCTTCCAGG